TTTTCACATGAGGGCCTGGATTTGCCTTTTATCTGTCACCTGTGCAGGAGAGGGGAATGAGTCCATAGGAAGTGAGGGTAATGTGGGCAATGCTACACTGGGATGAAATCACTCTTTGTGTTCTGGTGGCACTGGAAGAAGTGCTTGGTGAAATAGGAGCACCCATTAGTCATAGCCTTGCTCCTTCCCAAGAGTATGAGTGAAAGGGCTTCATGTGCTGGATCTGGAGTCACAGGAATATTGTTAATAAATGTTTTGCCTTATTCCGACCCTGCTGTAAAAGTTAGTGCCTCCCAGCTCACTTCCTTCCAGCTTGTATCATTAAAGTGCCTTAGAGAAAACACAACAGCTTGCCTTAAGGGCTTTCCGTGGATGGTGATAACATCTTGTTCAGTCAGGAATATTTCCAGCCGTAAGAACCAGAGCATGCACAGGAAGGGAAGGCGAATCCACAGCTTAAGGGCTTCTGTAGGCTGCACAATGTGATTTGTTCTCTAGTCCCCTTCCTGTCTGCTGTGGATGTGCAGTTTAAACAAGGGTGGCTTCTGGCCGTAGAAGGAGAGACGTGTGCTGGTGGTTGAGGTTTACAGAGCTTGCTCTTGCACTGAAGGTGGAGGGATGGGCTGCAGACTCCAGGAAGGCAAGCTGAGCTCTCTGAGAAGCCATACAACAGACCCTAGGGTGGCCTGGGGCCGCAGGGTGGGAGTGCAGCAGTTATGCCTCCATGGAAAGGGCTGCCGCCTGTGGAGTCTTTCCCTCCTTCTCGTGCCCCCAAAGGGATGTGCAGCTCTGGAAAGTGATGTCCATTCTAAGGGCTACAGTTCCCAAAGGGGACTGAAACATCTCCCCTCCCTGCACACAGGGGAAGGGCAGCCCAGACTGAGCCATGCCCAGACTATACCTTGCTGCAGGCTGGTCGGTCGCTAACTCCTGCAGGGTGACGTGGCTGCTGGGGAAGGAAGTGCTGAACTTCAGCCATTGCCCTCTGGGACAACTGCTGTACAGACTACAAGGGGCAGGGAAGGCATTTTTTTTTCCAAAAAGCCAAATTTAAGCAATCAACAAGAAAGTCCCACTCCTCCCTCTATAGTCCCTCCTGTACGTGTGTGAAATTTATCAGTATTCTGTAGGTTTCCTTAGTGCACTTATTTTACTTGATTTTGTAATTTTTTTGAAGCAGGGGGGTTTGGATATTACTGCCAAATAAATGAAACAAAATTTAAAAAGTAATACGTGTTTGGTTTATTTCTCATAAGCCACATGACTTCATTTTCGTCTTAAAAAAATAGTCTGCACATTCATACACAAATCTCAGTGTGCTTGACAAATGTGAAACATGACTGTCTCTCTCTTATAGCTGCGGAATCAGGTGGAAAGAACCCATAGGCAAGTAAAAATAATAACTAAAGGCCTTGAAAATGTGACCTGCAAGGACAGATCAAAAGCCATAGGGACAGTTAAGAAGGAAAGATCTAAATGTCTTCAGGTGGAGACTGCTGCCAAGATGAATGTGCCCATCTGGCTGTGGGACACTACTTTCAGTTGTGGTACTTAAGGCAGATCCAGAGGACACATCAGGGAATGCTTTTGAATGTAAAAGGATGGCAAATAACCGGAAGATGCTTCCTTGATATTACAAAGACTTCCTCCCTGTATGGGTTTTAAGAAGATACTGGAGTAACAGCTATCAGGAATAGACCTTCTGTTTCTAATATGACCTTATGAACACAGGGCTGAAAGGCTAATGTCACCTTTGCTGAACTGAATGATGAAAAAGCCTTTAATGGTGGTGTGTAACAGGAGGATGATGTCTCCACCATCTCCACCATAGCTGTGATGGCACTACTGTAAGCACTTCTGTGCAAATGTTGGTCCAACAGAAGAGAAAAATGCCTTACTTTTTTTCCCTTGGTGTGCTCCTTCCAAAACTGTTAAAAAAAAAAAAACAACCCACAAACATTGCCTCACCATGTTACTTTTCACATCAAATGGCCTCTTTAGGATGTACCAGCTGCTGCGCTTGCAGTCTTTTCTGTGGCACTCCTTACCCATTCACTGCTCAACTGCAAAGTGGGACTGCCTCATTACTTTAATTTCTCCTGCCAGAATTTCCCAGGATTTTAAGAAGGAATGAACGGAAGCGTCAGCCACAAACTTAGCTAGGTGGCACTATAAATACTTTGCCCTGTGCATCATGCATACTTACTGAAGGAAAATGATTTTGAGGTGGGAGAGAGAAAAAGCAAAAACTCCTTTGCCCACTGCTAGTAGAGGCCTGGGAAAAACTGACCTGTTTATGGAGTTAAGCACATCTGAGTATTAAGTTGCTGCACTGTAGCTACATATACTTAATCACTTCACAATTCTCCAGCACTGTTAAGCTTCAAGCTGAGAAACAGGCTATTTAAGTGGTTGATCAAGACCCTGAACTGCATTTGTAAGGTATTTATTAACTTTAGTTCTGAAGATGGGAGGAAACTGATCTATAATAAAACTCGATTCCGGAACCAGTTCACAGGACACACCTTTGGGAGAACTAGGCTTAAAGCACTACAGAAGACAAGAATAAAATCCAGATGACCTTACTCTTGTGCTTACATAAACTCTCATAAAATTATCCTGATCCAGCTGAAACAGAACAACCTTTGTAGAGTGGGAAAAATTATGTTGAAAAGAAGTAACATATCAGTACAGTGTCTGTTCTACAGCTATCTCTGGGTTCCCATCAGGGCTTACATCTGTGACTCCATAGAGTACTGGAAAACAAATGAAACAAGTCCAGTGGAAGGTGACCTGTTCATTCCCACCCGCTGTGGCATACTTTTTTGAAGGCTGGGCACAGCCCTGACAACTTCTTGCTCTTGGGAACAGGAGCTGTCACATCAAAATATTTGTGGTAAAATCCAGAATTCATAGGAGCACCAAAGCAAGGACAAGTGGACCATGGGTTTCGTCCAGTGTTCTGGACACCTTTGAACTCATCATTGTTGCTACTTCATATGCTGTTTTAAACTCTTGGCTAGTGCAAGCAAACTGATTTGTTTCTGTTTTTTCCAGTCTAAGATGATAGAGACTTTTGTGGATATGAAGTGTTTTGAGCAGGTAGGAGGTTGTCACTCCCTTCTTTTTGGCTCCCTTATGCATCACAAGGAAGCAAGTCTGTTTCTTAAGGCTGGACTTTTTAAGGGCAAAAGTTCCCTTGGGCTGTGAATCTTCTCGTTGTCGTCACACATTGCTGCTGCTTCTTCCTATGATTACTGATTACACTGCTGGTAACTAGTGTCCAGAGGAGATTAAATCTGTTTTTTCACACCCAGGCAGGGACATGCACTGAGGTACTTCTGGGAGGCCATTCGGTGCTCTGCCAGCAGCAGTTCATAGAATCATAGAACGGTTTGGATTGGAAGGGACCTTAAAGATCACCAGTTCCAACCTCCCCTGGCATGGGCAGGATAAAAGCAAATCAGCCTTCGGACAAGACACCGGCTGGGCAGGGATGCTGGGCCAGCCACAAGGGAGAGCCCTCGCGGCACTCGGGGCCAGGCAGTACCTCTCCTTCGGGCTCTGAGGGGTGAACCAAAGGGGCGGGGGGAAAGTTAGGGGTTTTATTTTTCAGTAACAGGGGCTCGGAGCTCTGGTGTTCTGGCTCCTGCGAGCCTGGTGTAAAACACTTTGCAGGGAGCAGGCGGAAGTTCCAGTCCCGCCGCGGGCACCCAGCGGTTCTCCCTCAGCTGTGGCGGTGCCCGGAGGCGAGCAGCGGTGCCGGGGCGCTGCCGCACCCACCGTCCTCCTCCGCACCGCCCCCCTGCGCTCGTTCCGGGGCCGCCGAAGGGCTCCCGCTCCCTCTGCCGCCCACCCGCGGGCGCCCCGCAACCTGCATAGGAGCGCTCGCTCCCCTCCGCCAGCTGGGGCAGCTGTCGTCTCGGCGGGCGGCGCGCCCGGGATCGAGCATGACGCTGTAGGGCCGCGCGGGGCCGACGGGGCCATCCAGGTTCCGGGGCGGTCTGGGGCGGGGCCAGGCGAGGCTCGGAAGCCCCCGGGTGACGCCGGGGCTGTTGGTCAGTGCGGGCGGGATGGCGGCGGCGGCGGCGGCGGCGGACGAGGACGGCCCGGAGCTGGAGCTCCCGCGGCGCGGCCCGGACGAGCCCGAGGTGGAGCCGGAGCTGGCACTGGCGGCCGAACTGTCGGCGCGGCGCAGCGCGGAGGCGCGGCAGCTGGTGCTTTCGCCGCGGCGGCTGTCGGGCCCGCTGCCCGCCGGGCTGTCGCAGTGGTTCCCGGCGCTGGAGGTGCTGGACGTGAGCGGGACGGGGCTGGCAGAGATGGGCGCGGAGCTGCTGTCCCTGCCGTGCCTGCACACGTTGCTGGCCAAGAACAACCGGCTGGGCGGGCCCGGGTCGCTGCCCAAGGGGCTGGGGCAGGCGCCGCTCGCCCGCTCCCTGCGCGTCCTCAACCTGAGCGGGAACCGCTTCGCCGACGTGCCGCCCGCGCTGCTGCGGCTCCAAGGGCTGCGCAGCCTCAGCCTCGGCGGCAACCGGCTCCACAGCATCCCGCCCGACATCCAGGAGCTCCGCAGGTGAGGGACGGGCCCCCGCGGGAACAGGGAAGGCCCCGGCAAACCCGGCCGGATTTTCCGGCCGCGCAGTGGGGCAGCGCTCCCCGTGCCACGCACCCCCTCGGGGGTCAGCCCTGCCCGGCCCCAGGTGTCTCAAAGCACTGCTGCCGCGAGCGTGTCTGTTCCCCTTCGGCAGGTTGAGTTGCCAGAACTCCAACACGTTCTTTACCTCATCAGTGTCTATGAGTATCTGAAGGGAGGTGCCAAGATGACAGAGCCAGGCTCTTCTCGGTGGTGCCAAGCAATGGGACAAGAGGCAACAGGCAGAAACTGATGCACAGGAAGTTCCTCCTGAACATGAGTTCAGCCATTACCGTGCAGGTGATCGAGCACTGGAACAGATTGCCCAGAGAGGTTGTGGAGTCTCCTTCACTAGAGATATTTGAGAACCCTCTGGATGCAATCCTGTGCCATGTGCTCTAGGATGACCCTGCTTGAGCAGGGTGGTTGGACTAGATGACCCTCTGTGGTCCTTTCCAACGTGACCGATCCTGTGTTTTCTTTGTATTCTTCAGGTGATGATGGGCCTTCAGCACTTGCAAACTGGGCAACTCTTTCAGGCTTGCCCCGTCCCTGGGCTGCCCTGGTGAAGGGGAGGTTCACCCAGTGACAGCATGGTTGGTGTGTGTTGGCATGTGGAAGGCTCTGTGGCTTTGCTCTGATGCAGATCTCTAGGTGACAGAGAGATGAACTTCCTGGGCTCATGCAGCTCACAGCTGCACGATGGGCTGCCCAGGAGAATAAAGATGTGTTTGTGGCTCATGCAAACAATAGGGCCCTTCTGCTGATACAGCTGCAGTCTCATCTGGGGAGGGAGGGGCTTGCCATCATGAGTGGGGTTTTGTTCTCTCAACCCATCGACTTTTGTAGATCTGAAAGACCCAAAGGGTGGAGCCCTCGGCTGTGCTCAGATGCAGTGGTACATCTGGCTCAGGGGCTGTATCCAGCCACCATAGGCTGGTGATATAAAAACCTGTCGCTGAATCATAGCAGTTAGGAACGCTGGTGGGATGGGAACAGGCCATAGGTGACATTGGGTATTGGCTGCCTGCATTGACCTGGGCTGAGTACTTCTGAAGCCTGCTGTCCTTCTGGGCAAGAGTCTGTGCTGTGACTTAAGTGTTACACACAGGCACCTCAGTGCATTCTGCTGGATTCTCAAGCCTCAGACTGGCCTCTGTGTGGCCCTGTGCTGAGACTTTGGATCTGAACTTTGTTTGCTCCAGCTCTTTGCCAAGGGACTTGTCAGAGGCAGCCTCTCTTATGCAAATTCCAGCAACCTTGACCCTGAATAGCTGGATTCACTTTCACGGCTCGGCAGAGCTGCACCCAGTGGAAGCATAGGATGTTCTTTGTGGAGTGATGTCTCCCATGGGCCTAGGTGAGAGGTACCAGAACTGCTTCAGTGCTGTTGGGAAATGGTTTTGCCTGCTGCAGTATAATACAGTTGGGTATGCAGCTTTTGTCCAGGTGGCATAGCATACTTGTTGAGGATCTGGAACAATTCTGGGCTAAACTGTCTGGGTTGAGTGATGCTATGAGGCATTTTGAGGGATAGAGAATGCCCATATCCTTCTTGGCGGAGTTGGGATATACCTTGGGTTGGGGCTGTCACAAGGAGGTGGAAGTTCAACTTCTTCTCTGTCCAAGAGCAGTTGCTTCAGGGATAAAGAAGGAAATGATGCACATTGTCTCAATAGCACGTCTGGTAGTATCCAGGATATGTTTGGGATCTCACTGTTGCACCCACCTTTGAGGCAGAGGCTCCCTGATGCTGTTCACGTGGTCTCAGTCTGTGGTTGTGGTTTTTCTCTCTCCCTTTTCTTTTTTCCCCCCAAGAAAGCAAACCTCAGTCCTGTTTTTCCTTATGTTGCTGTCCCCAGGAAGGTACCAGGGTGTGTAGCACGACACATGGTGCCCCAGTGGGCTCAGAGCTGTGCTTCCGCTGTCAGACTGCTGCTGCATGGTTACTCTGCTTTGTTCCTCTGACCTGCCCTGAGACAGGGCTCCTGTTTGTCCTGTCCTGCAGCTTTTCTTGGGCTGGTCGTGCTCAAACCCCCAGAATGACAGTTCTGAGAGGGCAAATTCGGACAGGGCTATTGAACTGTCCATTTATCGTTACAAAGTGATGTGTCAGGTGGAAAAGTCAGACTAGACCCAGCTCGTGTCTGCTGCCCACGTCACCACTGCTAACTCATTGAACTTCTGCTAACATGTCAACATAATATAATTGAACTTTAGTTCAAGATAGCAAATCCGTGCCCCACCAGGATTGTCAGCTTCTTTACCACTATGCCATCAGTGACTTCTGTATCTGGGACTGCTGAAGTAACAAAAGGGAGCTGCACTGTTTGCCAGCACTGGGAGAAAACAGTACTTTATAATCTAATGTTCCTCTAGAGGGAATCCTGAATCTGTTCATTGGGAACCAGATAACCAGTGACCTTACGCCCTTGCCAAAAACATACTAAATATGTTCTGGAGTAAAACTGCTGCCAGATCCTGTTCCTGCCGTCTGACAAGAGAGGTGTCCTCAGTGTGAGTGTGCATGGTGTCAAAGTGGGTAAAACGAGCCTGAGCAAGGACAGAGCAGAGCCAGCTGTTATGGCAGGGCAACGTGGAGACCTCTGTTAAGTTTCTGAACTCTGGAACTTGGAGGTGGGAACTGGTGTTGTGGCTTCTGTTAAACTCACAGCTCAAGTTGCAAATGTCCATCTTGCTGTTGCTGGCAAGCCAAGACTTTGAGCCTTTTTCCATGTGCAACTTCCCATAGAAAGAAATTTTTCTTATATCTTGTGGTCTCTGAGACCACAGAGGAATGCAGGCAGCACTTTGACCAGACACATTCCTCCTGCTGTTACTCAGAGTTCCTCAGGCCAGTAGTTCTCCTCCTGTGACCCTGGCAGCTCCCCATTTGCTCCAGTCACTGATTATAGAGCAGACTGGAGTTGCAGAGATCTAGAAATACTTCTGAATGTTTCCAGGGAATGTCTGACCTGTGATGAGATTTCTTAAAAAAAATATTCTTGATAACTAAACCTCATGTCTTTGCACCCCATGGTTTCCTGTTGTAGTTTTTGAAGGGGTAGCACATCAGTTCTAGTGAAGACCAGACATGTAGCAGGTAAGGACTCTGTGTATGTGGTGAAGTTGAAAGAATACAAAACTGATGGGTCTGATCAGCCGAAGGAGAATGAACATGCTGGTGACTACACATGCAAAGGCCCTGGAATGGGAGCTGTGTGCCATGTGTTCCTATTCATGGGGAGATAGTAAATCCACCACTTTACAGCAAGCTGGGGTTGGGTCAGGCATTCTGTGCAAAAACCTTTCCCTCATATGTTCCCGGTGGTTTGGCAAGTTAATGAACTTGGTAATAAGAACCAAATCAGTCCTGCTGCTGTCATGTCCCTCCAGCTTCACCTGTCTGCCCCATTCTTGCCCACACAAATATTTTGTGTGCTGTGCAAGATCCTGCATGGAAAGTCAGTGCTGTGTTCCTGACTATCGGTCACCTCCTAGGCTGTTGTAGTATGACCACCTATATGCTTGAAGCTTCCTTCATGTGGCTTCCACGAGTGTATGGTCATGACTGCTCTGGTGATGGCAGCAGGATGATGCTGATCATAGCATGCTGGCACCAGGGATGAATAGCCTTTGTTTTGTGTTTTCCATTAGGAAAATGCAATGCTCTTTCATCCTAATTCCACTGAAAGCATCTAGGGTGACTGGCAACAGCCTCGTGTGATAAATGTAGGTGTTGCCCCTGCTGAGAGCTTTTTTTAGTCATGTTGAAGCCATGCCTGTCAGTACAGTGCAAGACCTGAGCGTTGGCTGTTGCTGTGAATTTAGAGTGGCGAATGCACCAGACATGTGAGAGCAGCCCTCTTTGCATTGCTTTCCTGTTTCCTGCCAGATAAAATATGAGCTTAGTAGCTGTTATCTTTCCTATAGTTCTGCCTCCTGACCTTCCTGTGTTTTCAGTGGGAGATGCTATGGTCAGTCACTCTCTCTCAGACTCAATTCACAGCCCTCAGCAGCTCTTGAGCCATGATCTGCGTCAAGATCCCACTGCTGTATCGGTTCTGCATATCCTTCCTCTGCTGATCCAGCTGGGGATGCGCTGTGGGGTAATGTGTACTAGAGCTGATGAGCTAGAAACATGGACATCTACTTGTGCCCATTCTGGACGAAATTTTTGTGGCAAGTCTGGTAAAAGACAGCTCAGTGCAATTCACCTTGCAATTTTGGCTTTTGGCTGAAGGGTGCAAGGAGTGTACACACTTAGGGAAATATCCTGCAAGTGTCCTGTAAAGCGAACAGTTCTCAAGAGCTTAGTGAAACGCAGCGGATACTTTGAATCTCCTGATGTGACTTTCAAGTTCAGTTGCACTCTTATAGTGAAGACTCTCATGTGCAGTAGAGCACCAGGAGCAGGCAGAAAGAGCTTGGAGAAGAGCCGTGTATGTTCCTTTCCTTCTTGCTTGTATTCCTCTAATAAAGCCTGGTTGTGTGAGGGCTGGGATCAAAGACCTCAAAGGCCTAACTGGATTTATCCAAGTTTTGTGTAAAGGCTTAGATGCAGTGAAAACCAGAGCATTTGCTTTCATTCGTGGGTAGTATTAAGCATGTTAGACAAGCATACGCTTAAAGAACAGCTGTTACAGTGTGGGAAAAAGGGCAAGTGGAGCTTTGATAAAGATGCAGCATTAGGAAATCTGCTTGCTGCCTCCCTTCTTCTTCCCCTCTTCAAACGTTTTGCAAATAGTTTTCAGACGACCGTTTGATCTTAAATTTGCGTGTCAGCAAAGGCTATGCAGTTCTCTCAGGAATTAGCAAATCGTAGAACAGGGTTAACAGGAGTGTATTGTGGGCTGCTTTGAAATTCCTCCCTTGCATGAGCCTCAAAACTGCCCTGGAAATTTCTTGCTAAAAAGTTTATCTTAAAAAGACCTGGAGCTATTTCAGGCACCATTGTTGGTTGGTTGGTTTTTTTCGTTTTTGTTTTTTTATTTTTTAGATTACCTACTTAGATGCATCTCTTTGATGTCAGCTGTTAGATTTTATTCAAAGAAGCATCTGTGGGCAAAGAGGGTGGATTGAAAATTTGAGTATCTCCTATGGCAGAAGACATTCTCCCCTTGAAACATGACTATGGGAGTGCTGTGGTAGTTGATAAGGCATCAAAAATACCTCTAGTGCTCAGAGAGGGCTCTTCTTGTTTACTGAATGTTTTGGGGCTTTTTGATTTGATTTCTGGTGTATGATGACCTAAAAACATCAAGGACATACTCAAGCAAGAGACTTCTGTCTCTTGACATGTTAAACTTTGCTGCCATTACCTGAATTGATTCATAGTTGTTTGAGCGTTTCTCCACTCCTTTCCTAGTATGTAAAAGGATTTTCATTGCCACACTACAGCCCGGTGGTGTGAAATACCCTGCTAGAAGGGAGCAACACATGATGGGCTCGGCAGGTTGGCTGCTGCTTGGCAGCAATTAGTACTGGCTGTGCTGAGCAGGGGGCTGCTGGGTATGAGGCTGAAAGGGACTTTGGCCTTTCATTAGTGTATTTGTAAACATTGCTAAAAGGCAGGAGAGAAAGTGTCAACCCTCATTAGTTACTCTGTCAAATGGTTGTTGGGTTTTTTTTCGTTTTTTGTTGAAGTTGATTTTGTTAGTGTTTGTACCCTCTTGAAACTCATTCAGCCAGAGCCTTTGTGTCAGGTTGGAAGTACATCATTTATTCTAGCTTCAAAAATAGGAACTGAGCTTACGTTCGTTTAAGACTTGTTGCTCTCTGGCATTTTGAAGTTTCGGGACTAACTTCTTGAAAGTGCAGAAAAAATTCCAGCTCTCCCTCTGTGTACACAGCAGTGCACGAGACCTTAGCTGATCGATCAAAGTGACTGTGCAGATTAATGATTGTCAGAAGAGCCAGGTCTTAGTGTGAAAGGTTAGTTAGGTAAGTATTCACTAAGCTCAGTTCCGTCTCTGCTGTGGTCCTGCAAAAACAGTGGTAAATGCTGTGGATTGCCTTGCTGCAGGATCTTGTCTGAGGAGGGCAGAGCTCAGCAGTGCTTTTGCTTGTCTTACCAAGCAGCAAACTGCCCTGCCCCAAGTAGGACAGATGGAGAGCCAGCATCACCTTGGCCTCTAGATACAGGCTTAGTATGATGTGAAAATCAGGCCAGAAGTAGCTGAGCTGGGAACAACCCTTGGCCACAGTGGTGTGGTCAGTGCTCTTTGTGAAAGGGTCGTGTCTCTTGAAAATCCTTTCCTGTGTCATGATTAGCTTTGCTCAGACAATTCTTGACACTTAACGTGATGCAGAAGTGGCTGTTGTTAATTTCTTCACCTTGCTTAGCCAAGACGAGGCTAGATCCTTCTTTCTGGCAAATAGTATTTTGAGGGACTGGAGTTCTGGATTTGGTTTGCCTACTGAGCAGTGTTTCAGTGGAAGCTATAAGAATACCTTTCATATGTTTTAAATAAGTTTCTTTATACTTTCAAAACCATCTCCATCAGTTTTCTTAATAAATGACCATCTAATTAATATCTTAAGTTGATGTGGAAATTCTGAATTTACTGCACCAGACTGGGCCCAGTGAGTTGTTAGTCTGCTGACCTCAAAAAGGTGATCCAGAAGATAGGTAAAAAGAAAGTGATTTTTAAGAAGCACTTTGTTGCCACTGAAGGAGTTGTCTTATTTATGGATTTTTAGTTAGACACAGTTTGTATTCTGATGTTGGGGCTTTATATTCTACCTGGTATGACAGAGTATTCTCATTACACAGGCTTTACAAAGAATGGATTTGAAGTTGTAAGTAGTTTGTAGGCAGTGTTTTTGCACACCGAGTTTGTACAGTAAGCTGCTCTTGAAACTTACACATTTTATGCCTTGAACAAAACATTTATACTATATAATTTGCATCCCTCTTCTCCTTCCCTGGTAGTAAGTGTTTTTATGCCATGTGGCTTTACAGGCATTGGTGTCCTGAAACACAGAGGATGAAGAGTTAATTATTCACTTTTTGTAGCAAGTGTAAACTTGTACACATCCAAACCTTGTTTAAATATTGAAATCCACATTACTGGAATTCCCTTGTCCAACAGATTTTGGTGTGGGCTCCAGCAATGGCATGGAGTTAAAATATGCTTAAGAATTGTATAGTCAGGAGTTAAGTTCCTAATGAGAGTCAAGCAGCCTAAATCCACCTTGGGAAACAACAGAGGTTGAAGGAGGAATTTTGGTTAAAACTCAGGGCTTTGTTAGGGGATAAAAAGTTAATTAAAAATAATCTCTCCTTGACGTGGTCTCTCTCTGCACAGCAGCCTTCCTCGTACACCCACTCCACCTACAGGTTGTCAGTGTAGAAGAGAGGCTACTTTTGAGCAGTGGGGATTAGTGGTGGTTTTTCCCTCTGTACTTTCTTGCATGTTCAGAGTAACCTACAAATGTGTCTCTCAGCTGAAGCAAGTGTAGTTACTTGCTTTCATATTATCAAATTCAGTTTAAGGCTTAGCTTTGTACCCACTTCATCAAATTTAAGTTATTTACCTTGCCTTTGACATACTCCACAAAGGTAAGCGAATCCAGGGGAGGTTAAGCTCTGTGAGCATCTCCTAGTGTGTTGCAGAAGTCTGTCCTTCTCTTCTTTGCTGTTGGGCAGATGGACCTTGGTGCTGCATTAGTGGCCTCTGTAGCCCAGGCAGATGCTGTTATTGGATCTTTGGGGTTCAAGTTTCCTGCAAGAACTGCACAAAATAGACTCTTTGTACTGTTCTGCTCCATTCCAGGGGAAGCCTCAGGGAGGAGCTTCTCTGGCGCTCCACATATGCTCTGGCACACAGTTGCAGGGTTCAGACCTTCTCTGGGTTGACCATCATCTCCCTTGGATGCTTTGTTCATGTGTTTATGTGCCAGTTGTATCCATTTCTGTCCAGTTGCTAGGGTGAGATGAAGGTGTCTCCTATTCCAAGGAGGTTATAACCTGTTCTTAAAGAAAGGCTGATGGAGCCTGGATGACTTCACTTTCCCTGACCTGTGAGGAATACTTGGTGGATCAGAGAAGGCTAATGTACGTTGTAGTTAGGTAGTTAACCTGAGTGCGTACTGGAGATACTGAACCAGGACTGTGAGATCCACCTTTTTCAAGCGTGAGAAAAAGTCATGTCTGGACTGTGATTAGCAAGAAGTACCCAAACTGAACCTGCCTTTGCTCCTCTTCCAGACAAGATCTGAGAACAGGGAAGGAAAGCTATTTGAATCCTTGAAATGGGGACTTGAAACTATTATGTTGAAGAGAAGTGGTTGCCAATTTTTCTTCTTAGATTTACTTCTTCCACAGCAAGTACTGGCTACTCCACCTGGCAGAAGGGAACTAGTGCCTGGCAGAAGGGAACTAGTTTCCCATCCCAGGACATCTAATGATTCTTTTCTTTCATTTAGGCCCAAACTGCAGTTAAGTCCAGCTAATGATTTTGGTAGCTTTGGGCTTCTTGACTTCAGTATACTGAAACCAGTCTATCTGAGAAATTGCATGCATGTACTTGTGTGACTCAGGTGCACTCTGTGCTGTGGCAGCTGTAGTGTCGTTGATCTGCAAACTATCAAAGGGGGACTGGCTTCCTCTGATTAATGCTGAAAGGTTCCAGTTAGTCACTGAGGAGTCAAATGATACCATAAAGAGCTTGTGCAGTGCTTGTGCAGGGCTGGGATTTTCAGGGAGACACTGCTCTCTTGCTTCATCCTGCTGAAACTGAGAGCTCCCACTGGCTGCAGCAGGATCTGTGTTGGTGCTGCAGACCCTGGGTGTGCAAGTTGGTCTTCCTTGGAAGTAGGAGTAGGACCTTTGCACATGGCATTGGTGTAGGAATACGCAGTTGTCTGGTGCCTACCTGCAGATGTAATGGTGACTGCAGGAGTCTGGAGGTAAATCTCAACATTATCTATTGTGAAACAGCAGCTCTGTTGTAATTTTGATGTGCAACTCAGCCTTTTTTTTCTTTCTCTCAGCAAATTATCTCATATGTAGTCATCTGTAAATTTTATTTATGAAATGCAGGAAATGTGAAGACTTGGGTGTTAAAGGAAACTTGAAATTATTTTAATTAAATAATGGACTTTTTTCTCTTCTCTTTTTCAGTTTAGAGTTTCTATACCTTGGAGGGAATTTTATTACTTCAATTCCACCTGAATTAGCAAAACTGCCTTCTCTAAAGTATCTAGTTCTGTGTGACAACAAGATCCAGAGCATTCCACCTCAGCTGGCACAGTGAGTATTTACTGTCATCAGCCACCAGCAGTAATTAACTCTTTGAACTTTTTCTTCTCCGTGTGTGGATAAAAGCACCTGGGAGGACCTATTTGTCCTTTAGTTTGTTAATGTGACTAGCCTTGAACAAGAAGATCTTTGGCATGGTGCAGTGCAGGCAGACCATGAATGTATGATATGGAAAACTCAATCAAAGGGTTATGGAAAAAAACTGTCACCAAGGTTACACTTCGAAGTGAATTAATAAATTTGTATAGTGGGCCCTAAGAAGTACCTGGGCAACTAAGAAAAGAGAAACTGCTACTGTAAGAAGTACGAATGCTACTGTTTTCTTAGTGATGAATGCTTGATATGTTTTGTGTGTGCTTTTATCTTGTACCATCCCATGTGTTCCCTTGGAATTCCTTACTCTAGAATCTCAAAATGTTTTAGTGTTTGTTAAATCCTACGGCACAGTTCTAGGGGCTAAGTTCCTGCTTTATCTGTTTGTAATGGGGAAAAGAGGACACTGCAGCTCTGTATGGGTAGTCTGAGATAGAAAGTGAAGATGAGAGGTGTAGCTGTAACCCCAAAAGCAATTGAATGGCAACATGAAATTTTCTGAGTTGGAATTTGATGGTGTAGTGGGATTATTCTTCATGGAAAATGTCCAGTTATCTTATAACTTGGACTGGTTTGGGAGCATCCCTGGATGCTATGCTAAAGTATTGTTCTGTGCTTCTTGAGAAGGAAAAGCTTCCTCCAAAAGCCAAAAAATTGCTTGTCACCTGTGCCGATGCTAACCCGGCCTGACCCTGCTTAGCTTTTGGGATCTGGTCCTATCACAGCACAAGGTGGTGCAGCCACAAGCAATGAAAACATGGGGTTTTCCAGAGCTGGCTGCCTACCAGCAATCATCTTTAATGCATGAGGGAAAGCAGGTGACTTATTCAGAGTATTGCATGGAACTGCTCTTGATGCATGCTCTGGGTACAAGGAAGTGTTGTATCCCCTGAAAGCGCTCAGTTTATACACTTTTGTTCTGTGCTGCCTTTTGGGGGGGGTTTTGAGAACACCGAGAGGGACAGCAGCATATTTAAGACTGTTTCTTTAACAGGTATTCTGGAGCTGAGCCAAGTTTTCTAGTGCATTGTGACTGCTGGATTAGCAGCAGCTCTTATAGCATGAATTTATGTTATAAAGGGGAGAAAAGCCAAAGAAAAAGAAATTGGTGGGAGAGGGGAGAGTAATCAGGTTTGCATAGTGCAGTTGTGGAACAATTTTGCTTGCGCATCTTGACTGGGTTTCCATCTCCATCCTTAGGCTGCATTCCCTGCGTTCCCTTAGCCTTCACAATAACCTGCTGACTTACCTTCCTCGAGAGATCCTTAACCTGGTTCACCTCGAAGAACTGAGCTTGCGCGGGAACCCGCTGGTGGTTCGGTTTGTCCGTGACCTGACCTACAACCCCCCGAGCCTTCAGGAACTTGCTGGACGCACAATCAAAACTCGCAATGTTCCCTATGCTCCCAGCGATCTCCCGGAGACTCTTGTCCGGTATCTGAGCTTGGCCAGCAACTGTCCCAATCCCAAATGCGGGGGTAAGTTCACCTTTACAGCTCTGCTTTGTGCTTTTACCTGATGGATTTCCTTTCCCTCTGACTTGCCATGACTTTAGTAGCTCTGTCAGGTTCGATGTGTTGTTACATCCACATTCTGGCTCCAGGTTTCCTGCAAACTTGTCTTTGAGCAGCCTTGTTCACTTAGGAACAGTGTTCAAAGTTGTTGTGCTGGTTTACTGTATTTGCATGGGAATGTAAGACAGCACTTCTGTCAGAGTCTTTGTAGCTCATCCCAGCACTCCACTATGGTTTTATGGTCTGAAGTTTCCAGTCCCTCTGCCCTAAAATAATTCAGAGTAAGTAGTGGACAGGAGAACTTTCGCAAGCATCATTTCTGGATTGAAAAAAGGAGAGTGCCTCTAGTGCTTAGCAATCTTCAGGAGCAACTTGTTTAGCTCTAGCTTGGGACTACCAGCATGTAGTTCTTGGAAGGAAAGGACTTCATAAAAAAGCCTGGAATGCTTGGGCTTAATTTGGCTCAATGCTTAATCTTTATCCAGAGTAAATGATCTGTGCATTTAGCCTTTAGAAGATTAAGGAAAAAAAAATGATTAATTAGTATCTACCCTGCGGTTATAATGCAGGCTGTTATCTTATCTCCTTACAGGACAATATCAAAGCATGCTCCATAAGCAAAGACAGAGGGGCTGAAACCTATGTTGGGAGGAAAAGTTTCTTTTTTTAGAGTTTTTCACAGCTTGGATAACAGTGGATTGATTTTGTGTTTTTTCACTTTGCCCTATGAACTTGCACAGTACTGCAGCGTTGCTCTAGCGCTGCAGGAGAAAAGCTTGCTCCTGACTAGCTAGGACTTAAAACCTTGCTGGAAACTTCTGAAAATGTCAGCGTCTAAAATCACTTGCTTTGACAGGAAGAGAACATAATTGTGTGTTACAGCAAGACTGTTGCCATGGAAAGTAGCATCCAAGCTCAGCATGGTGACTTCACTCAAGCAGAAGAAAAGTAGAGCTGTGAAGGTCTGTTTGTGAATGCATTTTTATTAGCTGGTAGAAGAGGTTTTACAAGTTTGAAAATAGAGTGCGTGAATTCATTTGGCATTTAGGAAGTTTCCAAATTCCCAGCCTGAGTTTTCTCCCTAATGGTTAGAAGAAATTGCCACATTATTTGGAAGTAACTGCCCTGTGTCTTTATATGAAGAGTGTGCTGTTCTAAATCACCTACCAAATACAGTTTTACAGAAATTTTACATTTCCAGAAGTATCCTGGTCCCTTCTCTTCCTTCAGTATCCCTTGTGCTCCTGTGTCCAGTGCGGTGTCAATTAAATCCTTGTTTGAGGCGTATGCACCAGCCTTGCAGAGTTTACAGGTCTCTTGGCATGGGATCTCACGTGTGTTTCCTGTTCCCTCTGCCCCTACAGGTGTCTACTTTGACAGCTGCGTCAGACAAATCAAGTTCGTTGACTTCTGTGGGAAGTATCGCCTCCCGCTGATGCACTACCTGTGCTCCCCAGAGTGCTCCTCTCCCTACAGCTCTGCCTCCCAGAGCTCTACTTCCCAGAGTGAGTCTGACTCTGAGGATGAGGCCAGCGTCGCTGCGCACAGGATGCAAAAAGTCCTTCTGGGATAACGGGGAGCGAGAGGGGAAGACAGGAAGGAAAATAGATTTGAAAAGCAGTAATGGAACAGTGAAGCATGAGCCACTGGCCTGAAGGGCTCATGAGAAATTGTCCTCAAGTCCATGCAAGGGGCAGAACATCTTAGCAAGCCTAGACTTGCTTGGTGCAGTGCTACTTAGGAGATCTAACTCGGTAGCGTACTGCCTGTAGGTTGCCTGGGGTTGTTAGGAATGTCTCCTGACTGGGAGACACCCTCCCTCCCTCCCTCAGACAGGCAGGGAAGGGGGATTTGTTCTCACTGGCGGATTCAGAAGGGTTTTAATACATGAAACTTCACTGGACTTTGGTCATCCTGCATAGCAAAGGAGACTGTCCAGATCCTTAAACACTGTGGTAAATCAGAAACAGGCTAATGATGCCATGTGAGTATGTATGGACCCCAGTGTTTTATATAGCAGTTTCATTCTTTTCTGTCTCCTTTGATTTCAGTTACAGATTTTACACCCATCCACTGAAAATGAAAGTTGAAATGTTTTGTTCAGGACTATTTCAAGCCCTGGTTACTCTTCCTTTGCCAAGAGGTGTAGCATCTCTGTACTGTTATAGATGTTATAGCCATCATAGAAC